CGCACAACAATTTACACAAATATTACCACGATAACAGAAAACAACAATACATATTATAAATTGCCCATAGGCCACAACCAATTTTAAAGATGTAACAAAATCAATCAATTTCACAGCAAATAGCCCAAGGCTCCACACAACGTATATAAACCTCGAAAACAACAACAAGGAAGAAAAATTAACTCAGCATGACACAACGCCTTCTTTAGTCCAAAAGTTTTTGAAAAATATATTAGTACCTCAATTTAAACTTATTTAATAAATTATTTTCATACGGAAAAATCCATAATATAATTATTTTCAGGAAATATCAAATCAACAAACACACGAAATTCTCATAAAATTCCAAGTCGCAATTACACCAAATTATCATATAAATACAAACTCAACAAATAAAGAATGAGGTATGACAAATCAAGGATTTACTAAATTTTCATAAATTTCTAATTTAATACATAAGGGTGTCTACAAATTTTTAACTGATATAGTTTGCACATATAAATCAAGTACGTACCCGTCACCTCGCGTACATGGTTTTCCAATCACACAATTTTCACATAAGACTCAATGCCTAGGGAAAATTCCCCCACACAAGGTTAGGCAAGATACTTACCTTTTTGAAGTTAGGCCGATATTCCAAAATTGCATTCTTGCTTGAATTGACCTCCAAACAGCTCAAATATATCCAAATTAATTCAATTCAGTCAATACTAATTATAGAAATTAATTTCATATATCCGAAATTTAACTCAGAATCGCCCATGGGGCCCACATCTCAGAATCCGACGAAACTCACAAAATCCGACAAACCATTCAATTACGAGTCCACCCATACCAATTTTATCAAATTCCGATAACAACTCGACCTTCAAATCTAAAATTTTCGTTCTTGAAAAGTTTTGCAAAAATCTTGATTTCTTCTATTTAAATCCAAAATAAATGATGAATATAATCATGGATTTATGAAATATAATCACTTTTGGATATAGGACACTTACCCAAGTCGAAGTCGTGAAGAAATCCTCAAAATCGCCCAAGAACCGTGCTCCAAAAATCCAAAATGAAATAAAGAAAATGACCATTTTGGCCCTTAAGTTTCTGCCCATCAGTCACTAAAAGTCCATTTTCCGTCACTAAAAGTGCACACCAGAACTTGCTTGCACCAGCAGTTATTGTTTTCACTAAAAAGGCTCTAACTCCATCATACGAACTCGGAATTTGACGATTCTTGTTCCTATGAGTCAAAAATAATAATACGAACCTAGTTATTCAATAGAAACTCAATTTAGAGCTCATTTTCTCAATGCGATATCAATTTCGCTCGTTAAACAATTAACTCATGTTTCGCGCTAAAAACCTAATCGCGACTTGATGAAATTAGACCAAACTTTCCAAATCACTCCTATAATTTATTATCAAAATCCCGGAAGTCTCGAAATTAAATTTTGATCTCTAGAACTAAAAATGGATCTTTGGATCATTACATGCTTATGCTGAAAACATCAAACTCTTCCAAAACTCTTCCCCGACAGCCTGTAGTATATCAACAATAAATTCTTGTACTCAACTCCAACTGACAAATGGTTTAAATTTCTGCAAACTAGAAATTAATGGCTACAATTTTCATGTTTTTTTCATTGCCCAACTCCTTATAGATTGCGAGATATAAGCTCCCAAAGTCAGTCCTGTGCAGCAGAAATTTCTGGCGATGCACACTGCTGTAGCCAAAATCTGCAGTACTAGCTTCCGTCAATCGATCATAACTTTTTGTACAAAAGTCTGAATGATAAATGGTTTATCATTCTGAAAACTAGAATCAAAGAGCTACAACTTTTATGTTTTGATAATTTACAGATTCCTTATAGAATTCGGGATATAAGCTTCCAAAATCAGCTCCACACATCAAAAATTTTGCACATTCCTGTCAAATAAACCAGCAGTTAAAAATGATCCGAAACCACTCTGAAACTCACCCGAGGCTCTTGGGACCTCATCCCAATACATCAACAAGTCCTAAAATATCATATAAACTTAGTTAAAACCTCAAATTATATAAAACAATGCTAAAACCATGAATTATACCCCAATTTAAGCTTTAGGAACTTAAGAATTTCCAACTTCTACATTCGATGCCAAAACCTATCAAAACAATTCCGATTTACCTCAAATTTTGCACACAAGTCATAAATAACATAACGGATCTATAAAAATTTTCAGAACTGGATTCCGATTGCGATATCAAAAAGTCAACTCTCTGGTCAAACTTTCCAATAATTCAACTTTCGCCATTTCAAGCAAAACTTTACTACGGACTTTCAAATAATTTTTCGGACACGCTCCTAAGTTTAAAATTACCATACGGAGCTATTGTAATTATCGAAACTCCATTTCAGGGTCATTTACACATAATTCACTATCCGGTCAATTATTTCAACTTAAGCTTCCAAAACAAGAATTGTTCTTTCAATTAAATCCTGAATTACCGAAAACCAAACTTGACCACCCTCGCAAGTCATAATACACATTTCAAAGCTTCTCGAGACCTTAAAGCACCGAACGGAATGTAAATTCTTAAAATGACAAGTCGGGACGTTACAGTACCGCTACGCGCTTAGGAAGGCAAATGAAAGAAGCAAGACAGCACTGAAGCTTGATAACTGTGGGAAGTTTCAATACTTTTTTGTAGCTTATGAAGCTTGGATTCAGGGGTTTTTGTTTATGAGGAAAGTCATAGCCATTGGTGGGACATTTTTGATGGGAAAATATCGTGGAGTGTTGTTGTCTGCCGTGACACAGGATTCAGAGAACCATATTTTTCCTGTGGCATTTTGTGTATTAGACAAGGAGTGTGATGCCGCATATGAATATTTTTTTGAACAATTGTCTAGCATACACCCCGACAGTGTTGAGTTGTGTATAATTTCTGATAGGCACATAAGCATAGCAAATGGGATCTCAAAATTTTACCCTCAGGCTCATCACGGATTTTTCATAAGGCACCTTGTTGAAAATATTCGCAAAAATTTTTATTGCGGCGATTTGCTTCACCATTATTATTCTGCAGCTAAAGCATATAGGATTGATAAGTTCAATGATCATTTTCAACAAATCAATAATAACGACGTAAGAGTTTCCAAGTATCTTGAGGAGGATGTTAGGTTTCACAAATGGAGCAGAGCGCACTTCCCTGGTAATATGTACATTAATGTGAACTCCCTGGTAAAACATATTTGAAGGTGTTCGAATCATTCCCTAAGATGTTTGACACATCTCTTAAGGTGTTTAAAACATCTCTTAAGGTGCTTCAAACAACGTTTTAGATGTTTCAAACATCTCTTCAGATATTTCAGTCTTCATATGAAATAGGTTACTGGACTTCCCAGTTCAAACAACTTACGAGATGTTTCAAGCATCTAAGAAGGTGTTTCAAACATCTTTTACGATGTTTCAAACATCTCTTAAGATGTTTCAGGCTTCACATGAAACATGTTACTGCATTCCAATTTCAAACATCTTACGAGATGTTTCCAATATCTATGAAAATGTTCCCAACATCCATCTCTCGTGACATTTGAAACATCTGCAAGATGTTTGAACCTTGTTGCTTATGTTCTAGATTCTAAAAAAGTCTTATATATTATTATTTCAGGTATGAAGTATTGACCATAAATATTGACGAGTCTGTTAACTCAATGTTTCTACTTGAAAGAGAATTCCCCATCACTGCCTTATTCGATGCTATTAACAGGAGGTTTGCCCAAAAATTCCCATCATTGTTTGAAAGATGTTTCAGCCATCATGTGGATATTTCAAATGTCCTGTGGATGATTTTTAAAAGATGTTTCAAACATCCGGTGGAGATGTTTCAAACATCCTATGGATGTTTCAAACATCCTATGGATGTTTCAAAGATGTTTCAAGCATATAATGTTTGAAAGATATTTCAAACATTAAACATCTATCAGAATGAGCCTTACCGGACGATCTTTGATTTGAAATGGATCAGGCCTGTCTTTTTCTACTTTTTCAAATAGCCACCTCTTCATCCTCGGCAATGTCCTCTCTTTTGGAGAGTCTTTTGGCCGCAATTGAGGTATGGATTCAAATTCCCAAGCCTACATTGTGTGATAAAAACGTAAATAGAAAATTATATAAATAACACTAAAATAGAAGTAATGATCAAGATTTATTTAGTTACCATGAAAGCCCAAGGAAAGCCGTAGAGGTTATACGAGTAACCCTTAGATTGTTGACGCTCTTTCATATCTTTTATAAGATAATCAACAGTCAACCGGAAACTATTTCTGCCCCATGGATAATTATAGAAAGCCTCTTATGTGGAGGCCAATCTAATTATAGTTTCGGAAACACCACAATTCGAATCATTTGTCAATAAAATATTGTGGACAAACCAAATCAAGTATAATGCATACTTGTATTTTTTTTATTTTTTCGTATTCATATTTGATCAATTCAAGCACTATTTTACCAGTCATGGACCTTTTTCCTTTGGCAATAAGTTTTCACAACTCTTCACCATCAAGAGTTACTTTTGAAGCTTCAAATTCGTGTAAGAATGTACACAGTTGTGTCGAGTCATTATGGCGATCACGAAGGCCGAAGCGAACTAGTAATCTTTTATAATCAAATCATAACTCCTAGGTCTTCTCACACAATACTCTACGGAGTATTGGCTATGTACTATAGATGCTTGAAATAGTGGCCTCAGGCAAATCCAAAAAGTGCTCGAAAGGACTACTCCTAAACTTATTTTCGGGGTCCTCATCCTGCAACAACTTTCGGAACTCACCCATACCCACTAATCCTAATGAGGATCTCACAGTGATCTTCTTGTTGTAGGTCTCATTATCATCTAAAAATATCTTGTACTTTAAGGGTGGAAGTTCCGATCAAAGCTTTAAGATTTCAACCTCGCAACTGTCAGAATCATCCTCATGCATCTCATATGGTACATAATTTAAAGGTGTTGATTAATCAAATGCACACGAATAATTAATTTAATAATTAAAAATATCTTTTTACAGTTGTATTTAGTGAAACATCCTAGAAAATATTTCAAACATCTAGACAGAAATTTTAAATATCCAGAGAGATGTTTGAAACATATTAAGCTTACCTAAACAAATTGAGAAGGTGCATTATCATTCTTTCTCTTTTTTCTTCTTTCTTCCACTGCCTCTTCTTCTTCTTCTCTTGAAGCTTCTTCTTCAGTATTTGCTACTGATGCCCCATCATCAATATTTGCCTGCTCTTCTCTTTCATCAATTGTTGTCTCCTTTTTTGATTCTTTTTCATCAACAATTGTCTTTTCTTCTCTTACTTTCCTTGTTTCCTCTTCTTGTTCCTTTTCTGTTTCCTCTTCTTTTTCTTTCTCTGTTTCCGCTTATCTAGCATTCCCTCCTAGTACATTCTCTGTTTTCTCTTTATTTTCTTTCTCAATTTCCTCTTCATTTTCGTTCTCTTTTTCTTCTTCTCCAACATTCCCTCCTTTTACTACCTGAAGATGTTTGGCTTCCACTTCAGCTACAATTGATTTTTGTAGTTCATCCTCCTGAGATGTCCTAATTCTTTTGCTAGATCTTTTGGAAGGAGATTTATCTCTTTCTCTTTCACATGTCTTTGACACACGTCCCTTTGCCATTTTATTTGCACACATAAACAAGTAACGACTATCAATAAAATAAACAAATAATTTATTTCTAATACATAAAAAAATAAAACTATAAATATTTAAGTATTCTTTGGTGAAATATCTCAGTGAGATGTTTGAAGCCTCATATAAGATGTTTCAAACATCTCAATAAGATATTTCAAACATCTTATTAAGATGTTTTAAGATGTTTGAAACATCTTAATGAGATGTTTGAAACATCTTACTGAGATATTTCAAACATCCCTAAAGGTGCTGCATTGAATGGTCATAAAAGATTGAGCTTAAGAGGTAAAATCAATTTTCTGGTATCTTTTGATGAAACATCTCATGGATTGTTAAACACCCTTACAAATATTTCAAATATCTTATATGAAGCTTCAAACATCTTAATGAGATGTTTCAAACACTCAGCTCAAAATACCATAAACCAAACCCAGATAAACATTGCAATAACTTCACATCATACAACAATAACAATAACAACACGAATATTTAACAATATCTTAAGATGTTTCAAATACTCAACTGACATGTTTAAAATATCTGGGCAAAAAAGTATTCCACAAACCCAAATTAGAGCAATATAGTTATTTCAATATCACAACAACTAATTTTATGGGCATGTGGAACAACCACATCAACGGCTACAATTAAACAACATAAAAATATCAAATTTTCGGTCAAAAATATCAACTATACAACAACTCTAGAATTTAGGCACAAAAATTATACAACAACAAGAAGATACAAAAACATCCAAAAAAAAATCAATTTAGGGTTAAAATAACAAGTTCAGGGTTTAACAATATGATGAAAAAAAGAAAAAAAAACTTACCTTGATGATGGAATCTCGACTTCAAAGAAAATTTGAACGGAATGGAGCCGATTTTTGAAGCCCTATAGTACTCTTGAGTTTGAAGATTGAATTTGAGAGAAAAGTTAGAAAAGTTTGGGGGTAATCGTGTGTGGTTTTGAAAAGAGAAGAAAGAGAAAAGTTGAAAAATCGTGTCTAATTAGAAAGATATTTTTTTTAGTATTTTAAATTTTACCCCAAAGTTTTTTTATTTTTAATTTGACCAGACCACCCCTCATCCTTCTTAATTAATCAGTGTTTGTTAATCAAAAAAGGTGTCCCAAATACTTACACAAATACTTGAGATGTCTTTTTTAACATATTTTCCCCCGATACTACTTATAACGGGCAAGCGTGATTTTTAGGTAGCAATTACATTAGGTCTACACTATAAGTACTTTCTTCCCCATGTTTGTACCAAATTCGAATTCATACTCATACTGTTAAGATACTGAAATGACTACTGATTTAGTTGCTCTAAGCATCGCGACCAACTCTGCACATCATTCAAAGGATTATCAATAATAATTACTTTTCTTCTTCTTTACCGCTATTACTATGTTCTCATTTGCAATTATTTGGCCTTATTACATAAATTTAATTGATTTAACCTATAACAAAATTTTAGGTTAAACATTCATGAGATTCTGAACCTCATTCATTAATTTTGGATTTTTATTTTGAAGAAATAGTTTAACATAACCCTTTACAATTTGAATATAAGAATATTTTTTTTAAAAATATTTTCGTGTTAAAATACAAATATAAAAATATTTGTGGCCTCCTTATGCGATTTTGAACCTAATTTATTAATTTTTGAGTTGAGTGAGACCGAACTCTAAAATGTTGATGTACTACTTCTAGAACCATGAACTGGAGAGGGAAAAAGCTGGCTCATTTCTTCTCGCACAGAAGAAGTAAAAAGAGTTAAACGAAGACGATCACCCATCAGGTTCGTGATATGTTCTAATAGTAGCGAACGTGTAATTTTCATTCTGCAATTCATTGACATATTAATCAGAAATTTGGAACAAATTGATTTAGATGTCATAATTTTCTCTGCTTGATAATCAATCTGTAGCTTGTGACAGCAGGTCATGCACAGCCGCTCGTTTGCTCGAATGAACTCTCTCTCTCTCTCTCTCTCTCTCTCTCTCTCTCTCTATACAATTATGGATTGGTATCTGAATGTTTTCCAAATGTTTCAAATGCTTATGTGAGTTGTTGCTTGGATAAAATAGTGCGCAATATTATTGGTAAAGACAATGTTAGGGCTAATTAAGAAAATTGTCGAGCATATTAACACGAATCATGATAAATGTTTGGTGAAAGAAATCAATGTAATTCGCTTTTATCTCCGTATGATGTTTGAATGTTGAATGGTTTACATATATCATGGACTTTATCGGCCTGATTTAGTGCATATTGTTGCTTTATGTAGAAAGAGGCTAATGATAGGAAGAAGTAGGAACTCAGCCATTGATATGGGATTCGGGATGATTAGGTGCATTTTCGAGGAGCCTCGTTTAAAAGGGCCCTGAAGACGGACAATATGGGATATATATCATTGTGAATCATGAGTTTTGTAAGTATTCTGATGACAGCATTAGCTTGTTTCTCACCTACTTTTAAAGTGTTCGGTCATGTCAAGCAAAGTATAATGGAAAGATGCTATGAAGGTTATACACCAAGTACGCTCGTGGTTCGACCCTGCACACTATACTATTGAGCTTGTTTTTGATGCAGGATGTATTCTTATTACATATTGTCAGGGTTTATTCTTGCCACGAGTAAAAGAGGTGACGACTTTGTTATATTTTGTTTATTTACAAGTTTCAAGGACACCAAATGTACGGTCCATGCATGCTCAAACTCTTGAGGCTTTTTCTTAAAATACTTTTTAGTGTTATATTTGCTATATTTTAAGGTCGCTTGGTGATGTAAGGTCCTTAAGTATACATAAAGTAATAAGGTCTCTGTCAATTGTAAGTGTTCTTAAGAGGATTACAGAGATTCAAGAAAGTGAAATTTTGGATATCCATGATATTCTATGAAGATAAGTTACCTGATCTGACTGTGTTCATGATTTTGATTCTCCAAGTTCTTTAAAAGCACTACTCCTCAATAATCAACATCATAGGCACCTAATGGTAAAAGAGTTGCTTCCTCATCTTTGATAAGCTCTGCAGTATTTAGTTGGTTCTTTTGCAGGTATTTGTTTTTTTTAAATCTCAAATAGTCTTTCTAGTATCTTCAACAGTTAAATTTCGTTTCTTTCTTTCTAAGATGTTGGATACTGATCGACTGATTGTTGGTTATATTTGTATTAGTCGGCAATTGAATGGTAAAAAGGATATCAATTGTTAATAAACAGTTAACTTTACTTTAAATACCTAAATGGAATAGACAGATATTGGCATAGTTTGGATCTCAACAGCTTTTATACTCCAAAATAAGTTCTTACAATACCCTTGAGCTGATATTATCTGCTACTACTAACAATAATAATCTAAAATAAAGGGAAAACAGTGATTTGAGTACAAGAAAACAAAATGCAAGTTTGTTCAGTTCAACAGATGCTACTTGGGTGTTGTTCTCTTTGCATTTATGTTTGTGCTAAACATTTTGTTTAATACAATGACCTGAACTTTGACTAATCTTAATGTTGGTTGTCTTTCTATATGACTAACTTTCAGCGTAGTGATTCGTGCTAGTTGGGGTAAGGATCGGTGAATCTTATGAACTTCTCTGTTGTCTACAACAATAGAACTACCAGTAGTTTGTTCTTTCCCTTCCTGCTATTGTGCACTGAAAGTGGAAATGCCAACTCTCTGTCCAAGCGAAGACATCTATACTTTTTTTTTTGTTTGTTTAAGATACAATTTACATGCATTTTATAGTTTCTTTTTTTCATCGTTGCATTTTATAATTTCTGTTGCCACATGTATTTTTCCTTTTAACCTTGCATTGCCCTTTCTGGATCAATATAGCTACCATGTTCCTAAAAGGTACTTCAAAAAAATTGTGGATGCCTCACCTTCCCATAATCCCTTTTTTCTTTTTCCTTATTTTCGAGAAAAGCTTGACATGAATCAGCCAGAAAGTTCATCATCCCCTTGCTGTCCCCTTACGTTCCCAACAATAGAGAAACTTATAAAACAAAATGTTATAGTAGGTGTATTGACCTAATTATTTAGGACCCAAATTTTGGGCACTTAATTTCTTTTCTCACTATCCCTTTTCCCAACTATTGTGTTCTTTTGGTGTTTTTGTTTGAATGTTGCTGATGTTATGGGATATCTTGAATACACGATAATCTGTCACTATTGCCATTATTAGAAATTTATAACTGCTTCACAAAGTTTTCAAAACTGTTTGGCAAGGCCTTCTAAGTCCTCTAATATAATGGTGATAGAACCTTGACCTCTGCCGTGAAAGTTGCCCATACTGGTCTGTGGTCTGACAATCTAAACTCACCTCTATTATACTGGCTTTGCTTCAGTCCCTTGCCAAACCATATAATCCGGTCACACCTATAGAATATTTTTCTTTATTAAATATGCTTGTTCCATTTGCTTTTAGGTAAATTCTTATGTTCTTAGGCAACTTACCAAGCTGGGGCTCGACTCTTTCCCCTTTTCTCGTTCTGATTGCAGCCATAATAATCATCAGAATCTGGATAATATTTGTATGTTGGTGCAAACTCAATTTCTTCCTCTTGCCAACCTTTGAAAATACAGCCTTCTCTTAGCTCGGCCTTCAGCTTCATATTTCCAAGTTTTCAATGTGAACTTCCAAATTTGAATGCTTTCTGTATATTTGAATGCTTTCTGGAACTTTAAAATTGTTATTTTTTTGCTTACAGTACCTGATCCTTTTGTAATAAGATGCTCCACTGCCTGCCGTTGACTAAAGATCTTGTTACGGCTTCAGGTAAATAAATCCTATAATTCAGGTCTCCTAGCCAAATCACCCTACTGTATGAGATTAACCAGCTTATGGTTGTTAGAAGATAATTTCAATATATTCACAAGTTGGTATATAATAATCAATATGTACAAAGTGAAGTCTTCTTTGTTGTACCTATGACACGTCAGCTAGCCAAATCATCTACAGTATGATATTAACCAGCTTATGGTTGCTAGAAGACTTTGCAAGATATTCACAAGTTGATATATAGGAGTAATAATCAGTTTATACAAAGTGAAGTCTTCTTTATTGTGCTAAGAAAGACAAGTGTAAAACTATTTGCCCAAATGCTGACATGAGGGTTCATATGCATTTAACACAATCTCTCTCCCCCTTATCTTTTATGTTCTTTTTCTCACCTAATCAACTGTCTATGGGTCTTGGACAGGATAATAGCGTCTGCTTCTTGCCTCTATGAAGCATAATCAAACGTTTAACTGTGTTATTAGCACACTAGCTGCTGATGCTATATCAAGATTCAAGGTACTGTAACTCTAAAGGAAAATGCTAAGGCCATGAGAATCCAAAGGAAAAAATGTGACTGTTTATAATATTATGAAAAGGTAAACGTACTCGTGCTGTAGAATTTTTCTTGGCAAATGCTGAAATGAGTCACAAGGAAATCTTGTGCGTGATAGTATTTGGGAGGCATCTGCATTTCTCTGTCTCTCATCTCCTTCTTTTCCTCCGGAAGCTAAGTGACTACACACAAAGCAGAAGCTTGTTTCATGCAAGCAAAATCTAACCGACACTGAACCCTGTATATCATTTACTGAAAATTAGTAAATTGAAAACTGGATGCATATGATTGTGTTTCTATCCCGTTTGTTACATTTATACTCCATATATTCTCTGATTATGGAGTTACACCCTGGTGGCGGGGGCGCCAGCGTGTGCAAATAACTCAAATTTTATATCTTGCTTACTATAATTTATCAGTAATTATTATATTTTGTAGGGAATGTGCTATTATGATCAAGAAATAGAAATTTACACCAATTCTTTACCTTGTTTCCGAGGTAGCCAAATATACCACAGCCTACAGAGGAGACACTTGTATGCCTGATATATGGAAGGAGTGGAGACCTCGCCCATATGGTAATAAAAACTCCCACCATTTGCTTGCTAATTATGCATTCAAAATGTGAGGAACTCTCTTTGTTTGGTGGGTAAACCTTTTGATTTTCTTCTTCCTCTACCTTCTGAAGGATGATGTTGTTGACAGCTATCTTGTTCAGAGCTGTTCTAATAAGAGAATTCCATTGCATGCATAACATTGTGTTCTCTGGCACTATAACACTTCCAGCATTCAGAGGTACAATTTCTTGAAACCTGATAAAAGTTGTTTGCTCATGACATGTACATTCTCGAAGTAGAATTTAGACCCTTAGCTACTACAAGTATCAAAGTACTACCTTGACCAAGCCAACCTGATATGATCAGATGGCAATGCATTTGCATGCTGCTGCTTACTCTCAAGGGCAGCCGCACATGCAAAATGCAGTCATCAGGTGATTTGGTTCATTTACCTATTAGTAGAATGCATTATAGTGAAGATAAAGGTTACCCGAGAACATAAATATCAGCCAAGTTGTTTCGAGTATCAAGCAAGCCCTCCATATTTAAGTCGTTAGGTGGTGCAATGCCTCCAACATTCCATGAGCTAATAAATAATCTTATTGAGAAGGAAAAAACAATAAATATGAGATACTGGAATTTGAAGACGAATTTAAATGTTAATTGTTAAATGGACGTACGAAAAATTTTGTATGTCGGCTGAGAGTTCTGATGTTGTGTCAGAGTCAGCTAGCATGTTCTCATCGTCCGATCTGCTCTATAGGATGGTGTTTGCTGCAAACTTAGCTGCATGACCTTGAACAGAGGACAGNGGGGGAGCAGTGGTAATGGAAACTAATAAGTTAAAGGAAAGTATATCTATATAAAGGGAAAGGAGGCTGAGGATTTGATTTGCAAAGGAGGGAGATGTTAGGTCTTCTTTGGGAATGTTGAGAGGGTAAATGATGCTATGAGTGGGTCTACAGATGCCAATAAGGAGAAAGGAATTGTTAAAACAACAGTTAAAATGAAACAGACAATGAAAAAGTATTTAATCCATAATTGGAAGGCCAAGATCATAAGGGAGGTGATGTGAGCGATGATGCAAGTTGGATTAGGATCTTCTGTTTAACTTTAAACTAATATTTCTTATGGAAATCCAATGAGATACTCTCATTCCTTTGATCATATAACGACTTTGTAACATTCAAGGATGGCTGGCAAGGTTGCCACCTTTGGTTATAAGGACTTGGTTTCTTAGTTGAGTTGAAAAACATTTTTTGTTATCTTATAACTAAAGAATTTGTCTTCAGTAAGATGATGATAGCTTATATGAGTGATTTTGGACCTTTTTCTGGGGAAAAATACATCAATTTGGAGAAATGAGAAAATTGGTTGTGGGTTTTTATGTTTGAAAATAGCTTTTGCATTTACTGTAAACAAAGTAAGTTTTTTCCCAATTAAACACTGCTCTTCCTTGTGTTTCTGTTGTCTGGTCTTGGTGAAACGTATACTTTAATCAAGAATCGAATTGTTTAGTAAGAAGCTCTTTTCTTGCTTGGGTTATTTATGGACAGTGCATGACTGAATAAGAGAATAGTATTAAAATAGGAAACGGACATGCACTCTAAGGTGCCGTCTAGTGGTCAATAAAGTGGATGGCTCAAATCCCAATAGAAACAAAAAACACAAAGTTGTTGATCTGCATAAGGAAGTATTGTCATCTATGTATTGAATTATCTCATGGTTAAAAGTTTACCATGAAATCAAACTGATCTCAGTACAGACACAAGTATATAGGCTGCAAAGGGAAACCGCCTAACTATGGTGTGATTAGCCGTTTATCATTTGTTATGCATGATGTTTACCCGAAAAATGGATAGAGTTGAATTTGTACGTAGTTCTAAGGGTATGTGGTATAATTTGACACAAATCGTAAGAGTAAATGGAAATATCGAATGTTGACCGTAAAGAATGAAGAATAAGTAAAGTTGAAAAGAGGATGATTTATGGATTAAACAAGATGAATCAATCTATGAAGTTAAAAAAAGATAATCCTTCAATATGAGAGTGTATGATATCTGAGTTACAATGTATGCAAAATTACAGAAATATAGTTATCCCTTTTACAGTGGGGGATCCTACTTTAGATATAATTAAAAATACATAGTGGAGAACCCATGATAAATCAGCTTTTCCCTAATTCTCGCCGAGATTTTCTCCCTTAGTGCGGCTGCAACGGTTCTTGTCTATGAGCTCGATCTTGATCGGACTCAGCATTGGTCGGTATTGGCCGGTTTTCAGTTTTAGAGCTTGATGCGGGTTTGAGGTCGATGCCGACTCAGGGTCCGGTAATGACTTGGGCTCGGTATCGTTTGACCTCTGGCCCTTAAGCTCGATTCCATCACATCTCATCACAGTTCGATTCGGACCCGAGCTCGATAATGACTTCGAACTCGGTATTTGACCTGTACCTGAAATTTGAAGCTCGTTTGTGCCATCTTCGGATCCCATCTCGATATTATGAAGATTTTCTTCTGTCCAATATGATCCCATCTCGATCAGTCATACGAAGGCCGAAATTAGTTTCGACCGTATACACATGACATTTGAAATTAGTGCATTATGAACACTTAACACTAATGTTTTTTTCCTTTTTTCCTTTTTGGGTTAATGGGGGTGCAGAGAAGACTCAATTAGACAACGACTGTTATGAGAGACAGATATTTCAACTCGTAACATTATCATTTGAATTACAATCTTTTGACTACTGAATTGTTTCTTGAGACCAAAATGTCATTTTCTTCAAGTAGGGTCATGTAGTCCATGCATGTGATTGGATGGACGGAGAAAACTGAGTGTCCAATTGGTCAGTTCCATAAACGTACTAAGGGGTCGTTTGGTAGGGTGTATAAGAATAGTGCAGAATACAGTGTATTAGTAATGCATGAGTTAGTAATGCAAGCATTAGTTATGCAGATATTATTTCTTATAAACTGTTTGGTGTGGTGTATTAAAAATTATAATGCATTACATAATTTTTAAGAAAAATAGTTGTTTACAAAAATGCCCTCTATATTCTCTAGCTTTAAGGGACTTTAAGGATAATTTTGTCTTTAACCATACTAATGCATTGCATTAATAGCCTTGGTATTACTAATGTCATGGTTTTTTATGCATTTCTTATACATAGGCTAATACCAAGTATGATGTATAACTAATGCAAGTATTAGTTATACATAGGTTGAAAAAATATACCAAACAAGGTATTAATAATGCACAAAGCTAATGCTTGTATTATTTTTTCTAATACCTACTGTCAAACGACCCCTTAGAGATTGAACTAATGCATACTTCAGTCAATCAATTGGTGCCTTTTCAATTATTTTATTAATAATATAACACAAACAAAAATTAATCAGGTCGTTTTATTCTGATTGGCTTTGGCTACACCAAACATCCATTATCAACAATGATGGTGATTAAAAGTATAACTGTAAATAACAGTAAAGCGTTCTTTTCTAAGCAAAGAAGGCCACCGGTTATTGCTTAACCAAAGAAAATAATAATAATAATAATTGCAGTTATTCTTAACCAATCACGATTAGTAACTATGATCTTGGAGGACGAAATTTTTAATCCTATTTCCCTTGTAATGATTAAAGAAGAAAAACTCCCTGGTATCTACGACTACCATGAATATAGGACATAGTTTGATCATAGAAATACAGTATTAAAAGGACAACATAGGTTGTTTCCTTAATCTTTGTCCACATAAAAACAGTACTAAACTAACAACCTAGATTAATTTGATAATTGGCATACAAAGTTCCACCAATGATGCTGTTAACGAGATTCCTTTTGGATTAGTTAGCAGAAGACATTCGAGAGATTTTATTTTTGTCATAATCATTAATTAAGAAGAAGTTCAATGCAGATATGACCTGATTGTGAAAGTTTTTTTTTTTTTTTTTTTTTTTATATTTACCACATTGTCTTCAACTTTCTTTTTATTTTATTTTATTTTATTTTATTTTATTTTATTTAAAGACTATGGGTTTAATCGACAAAGAATCCACATCGTCCTGGGGTGGCATAATTTATGCACCTGATCTTGGCTAGTGGGTATTCAAATAAAGAATTACGATTTGTTAGACAACAACGGTACTGGTATTTTACTACTGTTATTTGCTAGGATATCATATAAATCCTATTTAGTGATGGGCCCCAAACAAAACATTTTAAAAATAAACGAAAATATAAACAAAGATGGGCGTTTGATAAGAACTTTTGGCGTGGATTGTGAACTCGTGAATTATAGGGGAGAGAAGATATTCTAGTTTATGACAATTCCCTTCATTAAAAAGAAGCACAAAAGAAAAGGAAGAAGACGAGGGGAAGTGACGGCTTGATATACGAGTAAATGCACGGTGTCGACAAGGTAAAAACGTACTAACATGGGGTTTTTCTGATTTAATTAATAGATATATGATATGTATTTATGAATAAATTTCTATAACTTAACAGATGGTTGACTAGCATACATTTGCACATTATTTAATCACTTAATCATAATAAGTTAATTTAATTTGATTTGACCTAAACACTTTGAGTGAGGATAACAAGTAACACATTAGAGAGAAAAGTTGGGTCATTAAGAGGCGTGATATAAAGCAGCACAGCTCTTTGGATATTGAAGTTAATTTAATTGGTTGACATCCCAAGTGGGGAAATCTATACGCTATTCTCTAGCAGTGCAGGCATATCATCTCTCTTGTCTACTTCTTTGAAGTGTCCTAAAATATGAATGATTAGTGCCGTTGTCACTTCAAAAATAGAATAAGAAAAGAAAAGAGATAAAAATAAAGAACTGCAATTATTAACACAACTTGTAGCTGTGTGCGTATGAGATTTGCACTGCAAGTTGCACAGATACGCTTGCGTGCATACGACTTGGCATTGGCAAACCCCCCACTCCCAATGACTGAAGTTTTTGGTTTATTTGGTTGCTTGCAAGTGGCAACTATAACTAAATATTAAAAGTCGTTTTACAAATTGTACCGAAATTAAATTACGTACATCTCCAGGATGCTCACCTATTTTCTATTTTTTTTTAAAAATTAAATACATAAGGAAATAGGGAAAATGGTTTCAAATGAAAGACATTCAATTGAATTTACACTTATTATGTGGGATACTTTTGCCGATATCACTAAGTTACAAGCATTATGATGACACTAAATGATGGTTGGTGTAAAAATATGGGTCTCATGTCGGATTCATCCATTATCTGCTCCTAGAAACTTCTCTTCAATCTTCTCCGAAAAAGTTGAAAAATATTGACAAGCTATACGTTTAAAACGCGCAGTCTGTCAAAACACATGATACTAAGCTATGTACTATATTCATACTTGTTCAAAAAATCATATAATGTATGCATCAAAACATCATTTAGCAGTGAATGCATACACAGTTCGTCAAAAAATTTATCTTAGAGGCCATAACCTATTGGCCATCGGATGTCTGCAAAACGTGAGCTCCGCCTAATGCTGTAACGACCCGGCCAGTCGTTTCGAGAGTTATAGTCCCGTTTTCCCATTTCTACTTCTTTTTGTGTTATTCAGTTATATTATGTTATATCGGGTTAGTTGGTTCGGGACCGGAGTGGTTTCAGAGTGAATTGAGACACTTAGTCTCTTAAGTAAAAATTTAAGTTGGAAAAGTTAACCGGATGTTGACCTATGCGTAAACGATCTCGGATTTGAATTCTGATGGTTCCGTTAGCTCCGTTAGGTGATTTTGGACTTAGGAGTGCATCCGGAATGT